TTTTATAATTATACATTAGTTATCATCCGTGGTACTCTCAGTTTCACTGATTTTTTCAACCAATAATTAGGTAGAAACTAGAAAAACGGGAAGCTCGCCAGAAAATGCATTGAAGAGCGAAAACCTGAATTATTTCTACCGTGACTGAACTTTACACAAAGAAAGGGACTGGACACAAGCTGAAAACAGTGAAACACCCTTTATTTTAAAACACATAAACAATCGAAGTTCGAGAAGACAGTGGTACAGTATGACACCTTTACTGAAGAAAGATCTGTAATCTCGAAATTTTACGTCTTTATTTACAATCTGGGTTAAATCTTAGTTTGAACTATTTCTATCTTGTTCTGAACAGAGAGAGAGAAAAAAAAGGCCACCATATACCAATAACAGCAATATCATTCTTCTCAGGATGCAGGTGCTACTCAGGTGACTGACACTTACTCTCACTTAAAAACATGGAGCATCACCTGACTTACTAATAGAAAAGATCACTGTCTATTTCTATGCACTATATTCCATGTTACAGCAACTTTTCCTACGAGAAATCACACGCAGCACCTTAGTTGGATGACCTAGTTCCGTGAATTACTAGGCGAGGAAAACTAAGTAAAATCACTAAGTAGCTTCCTTGACCCGACTTTCTATATTAAGAATACATGCTCAATATGTACAGAACTTTTGAAAACGTAGATTACTTATGGATTAAAAACAAATATTTCTTACATTTGTGTAAGATTTCAGAAGACCTTTAGGCTTGAAAACATGTGTAGATGAGTTAAACAGCACGGCAAGTACTGAATTATTTACATTACAGGAATCATTATGAAATATATATATATGTGTGAGTGTGTTCCATGGGAATTGCTTCTTTTAGGCACAATATGCATCGTGCATGCATGTGCAAAGGGTTTTCTTCAGAAAAAAATTCAAACCAAAAAATAAAATAAAACCACGAAAGGTTAGGAAATAAGAATATTTAGAAGTTACAAAATTCGAAGGTTAAGTCTATTATTTCTAAATGAGTTTGAAGCCTTGTCATATTATTACAGTCCATTGTCACATTGTATCTTTAAAATAACCTTGAGATATATGTTACATTTCAAAAGACTACTTCTTAAAAATGCTTTCTCCAAAGCACAACATTCCTCCCTGACTTTCCATGAGTCAGTTAGTTTATGAGAAGAATGGTTTCCCAGTATTTAACTCAACAGTCTGATTGTATAAATATCCATAGGTGCTGCATCTCTCAATTTCATTAGAATGTTTTCTTGTGGAATAACTTGAACACTCCAATTGAATGAGAGGTATGACTGGAAACCTTATCTTGGTGAACCAATTTCCTGTTGCTCTCTTTCCCATTGACCAGTACGCAATCGTGTGTGGCTTGTTACAGTTTCTGCTCATATAGTTTTCTACAGTTGGTCTTTCTTTCCTAGATATGACACAAACCAACTAGTATACATTCAGCTTGGTTGCTTTGTCAGATGTAAATCCTTCTTGGTTGTTGTGTACTGTTACCTGAGACCTAGCCCCATATAATGGATTCACTTTACCAGAGCCCCGCGGGCCATATGTCTATGACATTAAACAAAACTACAGGCTTAGAATATGTCAAATTGGAGCCTGAGAAACTGAAAGAAGTATCTAAATGCCTATTTCTCAAGCATCCTATGGATTTGTCATGTGAAATGTTGCATTTGAAAAATATTTAAATCTACTTTTGGAAGAGAACTTGAAATGCTACTACTTATCACAGTTAATGAGATTTACAACAACAAAACTACAAATAATATTCACTGGAGTGTGGATAATCTTACGACATTTTGCATTGTCAGTGACTGTGGCAGAAGCCAAATAAAGTTTCAGCATCAGAAGCTGCAGACAATCTATTATGGTACATGAATGCATATATACGCCATTATGTTGTTTTATGTATTTGGTGTGAACTCAAAAGAAAATGGACTTTCATGATTTTGCAATGAAAAAACTCAAGAAAGTAAAGTTGTGAAGTAATAATCCTTATCTATGCTATTTCATCAATAAAATCACTCAAAGTCCTATAATATATTCTCTCAAAAAAAATTTCAACTAATTTATAGCCTAGATTTATATTTTTTCTTTCATTAATTAGTGTGTCTGTTTGGGATGGCATGGAACCCATGTTTTCAGTTTGCCCTGAGCCTAGAGAAATGTTGCTTGGAGCCTGCCTGAAACACGTGGACGGCCTTTGCCACTGCCTTTGTGTTCGTGGATTCTCTCATTTTATAAGACGCTACACTTTCTTTATCATGTCTGTGATATGACTTGTTGCAGGTCTCTTTCTGGATGGTCCTAGACCGTGCCCCAAATTGGTCCTTATTTCTTTGTTTCCAAGAAATATCAACATGTAGTTCTAATACACGCTGTTACACCGCAGTTTTATATCGGTTGTATTTGTCACGTGACATACTGATTTAAATATTCAAAATCGTTTTAATACAGTCTACTGAACACTCTGTAAATAGCTCTTTCTATAATCACGTTAAACATGTCGTCCGGTTTTACGGAAAGTCAACCCTCAAACTTCCGTTGGGGTGAGGCCGCCGTAGTTAGGATTATTTATTTTCTGCCGGCGCCCAAGTATCCTACATAAAAACATTACGTCTGAAAAAAAAAAGTTGGTATAGGATGACAAGTGTATCCCAGGCATGTTGTACGAATTTAACTCTTATATCGTTAGAACCAGTTTCGTGGTTTGAAGCCGTTAATTACTTAAATTTTCAGTTCATGGTATAAGAGTCTTAGAAGTATAATATTGTTACGTCTCCGTTTGTTAATTGATTTTCCGTAACTTCTTTCCGACGACGTTTTAACGACACAAGTCTTTACTTAATAAAACTGGTTTATTCTTTCCGAATATAACTTTACGATACACTTAATTTCAATATTCGCGCTAAAACAAACACTATAACGAATGAACGTTAACTTCAACAATACCCTG